ACCTAACAACAGCATTTCCTTATCAGACAGTAGAAATGAGATTGTAGGCAGAAAGGTAGTTCTGTCAGATGGCCTCAGAAAAGGAACAAGGGGCTCGGAGTTTACAGAACTTTCCACTGAAAACCGAAGCAGCAAGCCCATTCCCTTCAGAACAGAACTGCCTCCCCTGGGTTTGAAGGCATAAATCTTGAAGGAAGCTGACTGTTAACGGCTTTCTCCTATGGAGCAGCTGGTGGGGTCAAACCAATCTTGGGGGATGGCAGCCACTTGCTAACCACTGCGCTACAAGGACTCCTGAAGAAGGCATGTGGAGGGCAGAAAATGCTTAGGGCCGATGCTGAAAGCAGCATGGGGAAAAGTCAGTTTGAAAGGCCCTCAGAGGGATTGTTACATGGCCGAGGGACGTGTCAAACGAAGCTGGCAGGTTTCTTTTCTTTCTTCCTTTCTTCCTTCCTTTCTTCCCTTCCTTCCTTCCTTCCTCTTTCTTTCTCTCTCTCTCTCTTTTTTTCCTTTCTTTCTTTCTTTCCTTTCTTTCTTCTCTCTCTCTCTCTCTCTCTCTCTCTCTCTCTCTCTCTTCTCTCTCTCTTTCTTTCTTTTTTGTAGTGAACGTTCCAATCATCGGACAAGGTCACAGCATTGTTATTGACTAGTATCAGAAAAGTCAGTCTTCTGATCTTACTCCCAAACTGTGACTTAGTTTCCTATGAATCATATACTCCAGACAGGTCTGCAAAATAACCCAACATCCTTACCCCGATACCCAGGTCTTTCCCTACCTGCCTCTACTTATTTCTCCAACATCACTTTTGCCTTTTGCCCTCATGAGCTAATTGCAATCCTCCCAAAGGCTCAGATCCTTTTTATATTTTCAGGCCTTGTTTTTGTTGTATTGTTAGGTGTCATCGAGTCACATCTGATTCATCAGTCACATACGACTCATAACCTTACAAACAGATCTGAACTCTGTTCTATCCTGTGCCATCCTCAGCATCTCTGACAGACTTGAACCCATTGCTGCAGTCACTGGGAAAATCTGTCTCACTGAGATTCTTCCTCTTTTTTACTAATCTTTGACCTTTCCAAGGAAGAGGCTCTCCTAACATCCAAAATATGAGAGACAAAGCTTCACCATCTTTACCTCCAAGGAGCACTCTGGTTGTACTTGTTCCAAGACTTATGTTTGTTCTTTTGGCGGTCCATGGGATATTCAGTACTCTTCTCCAACACCACAGCTCAAATGCATCAGTTCTTCTGTCATCCTTATTCATTGTCCAGCTGTCAGATACATAGCACATGACTGGAAAAACCATGGTTTGAATCAGGTGTACCTTAGTCTTTAAACTGATATCATTGCTCTTCAGGACTTAGGAAAGGTTCCTGGCAATAAACAGACTTTTCCAATGCTATATATTTCCTGATGTCTTGACTGCTGGTGCCAAAAATGTTGATTGTGGATCCAAGTAAGTTGAAATCATTAGCAGTGTCAATCTTTTCTCCCTGTATCATGATGTTGCCTATTGGCCCAGTGGTGAGGATTTTTTTGTTTTGTTGTTGCTGACATGTAAACTATATTGAAAGCCGTAGTCTTTGATCTTCTGCAGCAAGCACCTCAAATTCTCCTTGTTTTCAGCAAGCAATGTCGTGTCATCTACATAGCACAACTTGTTGATGAGCCCATCACCTATCTGGAAGCCATATTCTTTTTTATAAAATCCAGCTTCTTAAATTATTACATCAAAACTAAGCAGTGGATTTTGACTAAGGGTTACGCTGTGTATCAGAGGAGAACTGTGCTTTATAGAGTTTTCAATCGCTGATTTTTCAGAAGGAGATTGCCAGGCTTTTCTTCCAAGTTGCTTTCAGGTAGATCTGAACTGCCACCTTTTTGGCTGTGCACATTACCCACACGAAGCTCCACTGGAATTCTTTCTTTTCTTTATTTTATTTTATTATTTTGTGTGTGTGTGTGTGTATGTGTGTACCATCAAATCGCATCTGACTGGTACAGGAGGAAATTGTCGCTCCTTCTCCAGCAGAGCATCTGGTAGATTCAAACTGCATACCTCTGGGATTGCAGTGCAGCTTCTTGCCACTAGGCCACTAGAGCTCCCTTCCACTGGAATTCTTTCCCCTCTAATGCTGAGAGAGCAAGCAGACATTTTGTTAAGGCTAACCTTTCAAAGAAGCTTTCCACTGTCAGCTTAGATAAGATTTCTTTTTCATTCTCTTATTCTTGTTGTGTGTGTGTGTGCGTGTGTGTGTGTATTCCTGTAAGTAGTCCTAATGTCACAGAGTACTTAACAGTTTATCATTTCTCATATGGACATCTTATCATATCTTAAAATCATTGACATTAGGATGCATTCTACAACTGATAGGATGCTACACTTGACAAGGTTTCTTGTTTCTCAGCAGCACAAATGGAAAGACGCCTCTTATACTTGAGAACAGTGGTGAGTTGCAGCTTCACTGTGCTAAGTATTCAATCTCTGCAGGTAAAGATAAATGTCATTTTCACCTGGCGGTTGTCTTCCCCCCCACCCCTGCCCACTGTGGGCACACAGTGACTATAACAATGGGTCCAAACATGTCCAAAAAGGTAAGGACAGCACAGGATAGGGTTTAGATCCATTGTTCATAGAGCTGATATGCACTGTAGATGACTCGATGGCACACAACAACGAAGGCATTTTTATTGTCTCAGTTGAGGTTAAGTGCTACTGGCATCTAGTAGGCAGAGACCAGGGATACAGCCACATAATCTGTGATGCCCACATAATCTGTGATGCATAGGGCAGACCTGGAGGAGAAAGAATCATCTACCTCAAACTTTCAGTAGTGAACACAGATGCCAAGACAGACTAAAGTAGCAATGTGTGTCTGGTCGTAAGTATGCTTTGTTGTGTTGATTTAAATCTTCCACAGTCTATTTGTGCAAACTACGTAACCACTCTTCTAGAACAAGAAGAGTAATTCTTAACATGAGCTCTAAGCTTTCCTCAACACCCCTACTTCAAATCCTTAGGAAAGTCTTGGATGGGTCTACCTGCTATGGTTTGTTATTGTTGATTCCCATCGAATCGAGCATGACTCATAGTGACCCTTTGAATAAAAGCCTTTCTATAACTATCATCATTTATCAAAGTTCATAGAGTTTCCGGAGGCATGTTGTTTAGGAAGTGGATGCCACCCCTGCTTCCAAAAGAACTGACTATGGGATCACAACTTTTTCTTTATGATAACAAAATACCTGCAGATAACTTGGGAGATTCTGTATAGCCTTGATCCTTGGCACAGCCTTGATTCTTGGTGGCCTAGTGGTAAGGAGTTGCACTGCCAACCCAAAAGCACATGGTTCAAATCTACCAACTGCTCAGCAAGGGGAAGATGGGAGATCTTCTTCCCTGTGATTAACTGTCTCAGAAAATCTGCTGGAGGGTCAGCTATGGGTTGGTTTAAACTCGATTGCATATTAACAATAGATAGCTTTAAGCTATAAGTAAGAATCAGCATATCATTCATTAGATGCCACAAAGGAAATTCTACCAAATGGAAAAGCTTTCCAGGTATATAACCACTTTAGAGATCCCTGGATGATGCAGTATGCATCTAGACTATACTGGACTACTAACTGAAAGGTATCAGTGGTATCATGGATGAAAGATGGAGTAATTTACTTCTGTAAGATGAGCACCACTGAAAACTTTACGTACAGTTCTATTCTGAGACATGTGTTCACCATGCGCGGGAATCAACCCAACAGCAACAGACTCTTTTCTAGGTTAGTGGTTTGTGGTGGCAACCACTACAGTTTCCACCATCAGTTTGTCATACCACAGTGGCTTGTATTGTTAGGATGCTAGTTATTGTGCTGTGGTGACTGTAAGGTCAGAAGTTCGAGTCCACCTAGGAATGCCTCAGAAGAAAGGCCTGGAGATCTAATTCTAAAATCTGTCCCTGAAAACCCTATAGAGGAAGTGGGGAAAGTATGATTCCATTGTGAGTATTGTAATTAATGTTAGAAAAAAATGTATATTAATCTAATTTGCTTTGTAAACTTTTGTTCAAATCATAATTTTTCAAAAAGAAAATGCAAACCTACAGAATTCAGTCACACACACACACACACACACACACACACACTCTCTCTCTCTCTCTCTCACATGTTCAAGGCACCAAGAACAGGAATTAAGTTTACACCTATATGTGCTAGACTCCCAGAAGTTCAGGCCAAATTTTGGAAGCTAAAAGGTTTCAGAGATATGACCCTATATCCATCCAGCTAACTAATGGCAAGGTCAGGACTAGAACCCAGGCTTCAAGTTCACCACATGCCCTTGGCCTCACCAGCTGCATATCGAAATTGGCTCAAGTCCTTTGGTACCTCAAGAGGAAGCCATGTGCTGCCAACAGGAACCGAGCAGCGTGACTTAGCAGTGGTTTCGCATTAAACTCCGGGTGCCAAGCCACTCTCACCCCATTCCAGGTGAACTGAAGTTCACTCTCTGAGGCCCTGTGCTTTGTAAGGAAGGAAATTTACGCAACGACAATTGTAATTCACGTGTATACGGGAACTCTAAATGAAGACATTTTATTTGTTCTATCAAAGGCAGAGGGAACGTAAAAGGTGTGCCTTTAAGGCTCTGGGGAAAGAGGTACTAATTTGGAAGGGCAGCTAGATTCTGGGGGAGACAGCCATCGCCATCCTCCATCTCCGGAGCTGCAGGAGTGGCAATGGCCTTCAGCTGGAGCAGGAAGTGGGCTCCATGTGCACAGCTTAAGTTTTGGGCAAAGCCTCTCTGAGTCTGTTCCACAGTCAGGTGGCTCCAGGTGGGTCTCTTCTTGCCTGACTGCCAAGTCCGGGAAAGGAACTGTCACCGCTCACCTTTCCCCTTCTGAAGCCCGTGGGCGGGCGGGCAGAGGTCCAGTCCCAGGATCCCACTCGGGCGCCACCCTTGTTCCAGCCCAGCCGTAGTGGGGCCCTGCAGGGTCAGACTCACCTTCAGGTGCACGGGGAAGGCCCGCTCCTGCTGCAGGGGACCCAGCAGCGTCTGCTCCACGCTGACCAGCTCGGAGGTCGAGTCCACCACGCGGGCCAGCGCGCTGCGCATTGCCATGCGGGCCAGGGTGCAGGGCGCGCGGGGGTTCTGGGGGAAGGGCAGCAGCTCCGCGCCCCCCTCGGCACCTCGCACCGCCTCCGCCTCTGGGGAGCCCGCCGGCGCCGCGGTGCCACCTCCGGGCCTGCGCCCCACGGCCCCCTCCTCGCGTCCGGACCCCGGGCGGGCCCGCGACGGGCCTGGGCGACGCGCTGGGGCGGCGGACACGTGGTCCGGGTCGCGCGGGCCCCCGGGGCCGCCCGGACCTTCTCCCCACCCCCACTCTTGCTGCAACAGCTGCAGGGTCTGCAGAGCTACCATCTGGTGGCTGATGGAGGCCACCAAGGGCGCGGGGCTGGCCATCGCCTCCACCGGCGGCTCCGTGCGCAGGTGGCGCTGCGGGCGGGGTTGGCGCGGGAGCAGGGGGTCCCCGAGGTCACATCTCCCAGCCCGAGGCTCGCTGGCTATGGGTGGCCGGCCAGGCCTCGGGGCGCTGCTCGGTGACCCGTGCTGGCCCCTGCGTTCGCTTCCAGTGCGAATCAGCTTGTGGGGACCCAAGGCTGCCTGAAGTGCTGCTCTGTGTACTTGAAAAGCGGCCAGATGCTGAGCTCTGCTCCTTCCTGCTCCCCAGGGCTGTGATGGGGAGGACGCGCTGGGCGGATGCGGGCATCCACACCAACACCCCGCCCTGCTGTCTCTGGAGAGAGCTTGCCAAAGATCATTTAAAATGCAGGGTGGGGCCAGATGAAGACCCACCAAAGTGTGAAGAGCCTCACACAGAACTTGCACCTGCTCTTCTCCCACCCCATCCCGTGAGGAATTTTCAGGAACTTACCGGAATAGCTTTTATCGCCCCCCCCCACCATACGAAGGTGGGCTTGTGTACCTCCAGACACAGCTTATCAATGGCATGTGTGCAGCAGAGAGCTTGATAGTCAAGGCAGCATTGGGACGCAGAGGGGAGGCCTACTTCTAGACTGACCCACCACCCACTGCCCTATGCGGATCCCTGGTGACTTTATATGCTCCTCCCAAAAGATTTTAAGCCACAAGAGGTGAAGTAAAATCCTTTTATGAGCCAAGAACTCAGGGTAAGCTGTACACATATTCGTTGTTCATGAAACCTAGCATTGCTACTACCTTGGCCCAAAAGAGGACTAGCAATGTTACCCCTTAATAGCTGAAAAACCATGGATAGGTGATTGCATTTTCAAAACAAAACAATGCATGAGGTGAAGGATGAAGTGGGTGAGAGTGATAATATGAAGGAACGTTCCAGAACCGCATCAGTGGCTATGCCATCTTCCTGTCATGGAAACCTCCTTAGCAGTTACCAGGTGCCTTCCAGTCTCTTCTCACTCATGTGAGCCAAAGTAGAATTGTGCTCCATAGGGTTTGCAGCCACTGATTTTACAGATGTGAATTGCTGGATCGTCCTTCCAAGGTACCTCTGGGTGGATCTGAACCTCTAGCTTTTGGCTTGGCAGGTTCACTGTGGAGAATCTTTGCAGCCAAATATACACTGTCTGTACCACACGAGATACCCCAAAGCACTGCAAGGCAGGGCCAAGGGGCAGGTTTGTGGCAGGCTAGTGGGCACGCGGAGGCCTGGAAGATTTCATTCTTCCATAGAAGGGGTGAGGTGTGTCACTAGGTGATGCAAATACAATGCACCGTGGTGGCTGCTAACAAAAGTTGAAGGTGTGAATCCACCCAGAGGTACCTCGGCCAGATGATCTGCTTCTGAAAAATCAGCCCTTGAAAACCCAGTGGAGCACATCTCCACTGACACACACAGGGTCACCATGAGCTGGAATCTGTGATGACAACTGGCCTTTTCCTCAACAATCCACCCTCAATGCTCTGGGGTGGAGCTTGAGTGGGAATGCTGCTCCGGGAGTCTGCTAGTCTAGAAGGCGGTCATCAGAGACATGGGTGGGAGGTGAATCCGGGAAGGTTTCTAACTCTGGCATAGTATGACCCCTAGTAGTCCTCTCAGCTCTCCAATGAAGGTTCCTTCTGGTTCTCAGTGTTTTCTTCGCCTATAAAAACAAATCTGCATGCCAAAGTAAAGAACATCTTTCTTAAATAAAAATGAGTATGTTCAATCTAATTATCACTAAGCAAATATGTATGGCTGCATTCTGACAGGATAGAAATTACTTTGGAGGAAAACAGTTTAATGGTAGATTAGGTTCCCTTGCCATATAGTTACTGAAATTCAAATTAACAAAATAGAGAAATTCTTCTCTAGGTAGGTGTTTGGTTTGGATTTTGGAGGGGGGGGGGTTAAATCGTCACGTGGAAATGTGTTGGGTTCAATAGAGAAAACTGGGAATAGTAAAAACTAACCCCTGATTTCCACAGAGTATGTTAGGTCTCCAGGGGTACTCCTTTTTCCAGATACACAGGAAATCCCATTTCATGGCCAACCCTTCCACTATCAAACGGCTGACTGCAAAACCTTCTTGACAGATGGAATTCTCGCCAACAGCAGGATTGAAATCACTGGACTCAGTCTGACCTGAGGCCAGTACAGCCTTACAGGGCTGTGAAGTTCTCCCCCTTACTCCTGGGACCAAGAGCTAGTCCATGCATGGATTTTCTGGTATCCTTCAGGGAGCACTGGGTCATCCATCAGTCTTGGCCAAGGGACACACTGTCATTTGCTGCTGTTGTTAGTTGCCGACTTGTGGATTTCAACCCTTGGTGACTCTATATATGGAGAACATGTGAGTAGAATTCTGCTGCGTGGAGTTTTCTTGGCTGTGGCCTTTCAGAAGCTGAACACCAGGTCTGCCTTCTCAGCAGGTCTGGGTCAGTTAGAACAACAAACTTTTGGGCTAGGAGTTCAGTGCTTTAACCCTCTGTACTACTGGGAGATTGCTCTTTTGTTATAAGCGTGAAATTATTTATGTTCCAAACTAGAGAGATAAGTGAGTCAACTGAACATTGTCGAGTCAGAACCAAATCATAGCTGGGTTTCCAAGATTATAAATCACACAAGAGGAGATTGTCCTTTCTTCCAAGGAGCTACTGGTGACTTTGAACTCCCAGAGAGCTGCAGCCTTTAGACTGGCACAACTCACTACGTGGCCTATGACTCCAGAAGTCCCTGGAGTGATGGGGCACTAACAGAGGAAAAGACTGTTGAGATCAATCAGCAACATGGCTGATCTACTTGGGTCTAAAATATCCTAAAGTTGCAAATGCTAGGCGACCAGGCCAATAATGAGTCACACATTTCTTATTCACTGTCCATTCAGGCTGGATGACCAGTTTGTCTGTGAGGCAGAATAAGTTGATCTCACCAGACAACAAGAACTGAATGTGGAGGAGAAAAAAATACCCAGTGGAAATTATTGTTGTTGTTGTTATGTATCGT